CAGGAGGGATCTCTGACCCACCAGGAGGGATCTCTGACCCACCAGGAGGGATCTCTGACCCACCAGGAGGGATCTCTGACCCACCAGGAGGGATCTCTGACCCACCAGGAGGGATCTCTGACCCACCAGGAGGGATCTCTGACCCACCAGGAGGGATCTCTGACCCACCAGGAGGGATCTCTGACCCACCAGGAGGGATCTCTGACCCACCAGGAGGGATCTCTGACCCACCAGGAGGGATCTCTGACCCACCAGGAGGGATCTCTGACCCACCAGGAGGGATCTCTGACCCACCAGGAGGGATCTCTGACCCACCAGGAGGGATCTCTGACCCACCAGGAGGGATCTCTGACCCACCAGGAGGGATCTCTGACCCACCAGGAGGGATCTCTGACCCACCAGGAGGGATCTCTGACCCACCAGGAGGGATCTCTGACCCACCAGGAGGGATCTCTGACCCACCAGGAGGGATCTCTGACCCACCAGGAGGGATCTCTGACCCACCAGGAGGGATCTCTGACCCACCAGGAGGGATCTCTGACCCACCAGGAGGGATCTCTGACCCACCAGGAGGGATCTCTGACCCACCAGGAGGGATCTCTGACCCACCAGGAGGGATCTCTGACCCACCAGGAGGGATCTCTGACCCACCAGGAGGGATCTCTGACCCACCAGGAGGGATCTCTGACCCACCAGGAGGGATCTCTGACCCACCAGGAGGGATCTCTGACCCACCAGGAGGGATCTCTGACCCACCAGGAGGGATCTCTGACCCACCAGGAGGGATCTCTGACCCACCAGGAGGGATCTCTGACCCACCAGGAGGGATCTCTGACCCACCAGGAGGGATCTCTGACCCACCAGGAGGGATCTCTGACCCACCAGGAGGGATCTCTGACCCACCAGGAGGGATCTCTGACCCACCAGGAGGGATCTCTGACCCACCAGGAGGGATCTCTGACCCACCAGGAGGGATCTCTGACCCACCAGGAGGGATCTCTGACCCACCAGGAGGGATCTCTGACCCACCAGGAGGGATCTCTGACCCACCAGGAGGGATCTCTGACCCACCAGGAGGGATCTCTGACCCACCAGGAGGGATCTCTGACCCACCAGGAGGGATCTCTGACCCACCAGGAGGGATCTCTGACCCACCAGGAGGGATCTCTGACCCACCAGGAGGGATCTCTGACCCACCAGGAGGGATCTCTGACCCACCAGGAGGGATCTCTGACCCACCACGAGGGATCTCTGACCCACCACAAGGGATCCATGATCCCCATGAGGGTCCCTGACCCACCATGGGGGATCCCTGATCCGCCACGAAATCCTCCCCCGGCCACGCAGTTCCAGCGACACAAGGTCTCCCCAGTCCCACCCTGCCCAGTAAGAACCAGTTTCCTTACTCAGCTCTGCTCCAGCAGCACGGGGAGTCCCCAGGAGCGGAGCCGACAGCCCTGGAAGAGCCTTCCCGGGTTCCTGCCTCCGAGGGAGAGCCAAAGGAAAAGAAAAGGACAAACCAGACCCGGCGCCCGCTCAGCTCCTCGCGAAGCCCCTCGTCTTCCACCCAGGAGAAGGACGAGGACACGGGGGGCAGCACCTCTGCTCACACCTTCATTTCTCCTCTTTTTTTCTTTGCTTCCAGGTAAAACATCACTTTTATAACCCCACTGCTCGACAGGGCCACCCCGGAGCAGCAGAGGAGGCAACACCATCCCAAAAGGTCCTTTCTGGAGAGGATGGAGCCCCAAAACCAGACCTTTCAGCCCATCCCCTGGTTGTGGGCGCTCGCAGCAGCTGGAGGAAGCCCTTGGGGATGGCTCAGCGCTCGCCGTGAGGATGAGGGTGGTGGTGAGGACATCACCAGGGGGTGGTTCATCTCCAGAGAGAAGAGCAGGTTGGTTGGGGGAGCTCACGCCGAGGTGACGGCACCACCGAGGCCCAAAATCTCCCCCCAGAGGGGTTGAGGGATGAGTCCACAGGAGAGAAAAGGCTCCCCGTGAGGAGCTGAGCCCTGTGGAGGAAGGAGGAGGCTGTAGAAAAACAAAGCTGGAAGGAGGAACTGGGGATATGGTCCTTCATGGAGTTTCTCAGCAGAGTTTTGGGGGGGAAAAAGTGGGAAAGGCCAAATGCCGGCACCATCCGCCGGGAAACGCAGAGAGAGGAGCATCTGCAGGAGCTTGAGGAGACCACAACCATCCTAAACCCCTGGAAAAGGGCTGTTTTCCACAAAGATGAATTTCTCCTCTTCCCAAGTCCATCCAGGTGCAGGGACCCTTCCACCCAACGAGGCTCCACCAGCCCAGAAGGATGAGTTTTTCCTCCCATTCCGGGAAAGACGTAGAGAAACATCCCCACCACCATCAAGGAGATGGTCCAGGAGGGCATCCCATTCCATTGCCAACGCCACCAGTAAATCCCAGTTGAGCAGCTTTGATATTTCCAGGCCATCCCAGTAGATCCAGAGCATCCGGAGAAGCCGGCGGGTCGTGGCATCGTCCTTCCCAAATCCAAAGCTCCGGCCGGATTTCACCCCAGCAGGAAGAAGCCCCACCAGGATGAGAAATTGGGGTCCCCCCCCCATGAAATAAAACCCAAGGGGAAGCGAGAGAATTCGGGAACATTTTTGGGCTGGATTACAGGGAAAAAGGGTCGCAGGGAAGAGACTCAGCAACGGGGGGCACCGGTATCCAAACCCCAACGTTCCCATGTTATCCGGGTTTCCAGAGCGAGGGGGGGGGACATCATTTATATATTGAAAAATATAATATCAGTGGAATAAAAGCCATTTAAAGCCTCATTTTGCAGAGCTTGGGGAGCAGAAATGGCATTTACAGGCGCCGAGGTCCAACCTACCTGAAGGCGTCGGGGGCTCCCGCCGCTCAAAACCCACTTTTCCACCCCAAAATGACCCCGATCGCTTAAAAAAAACCCCCACCGAGCCCACAGGGAAAGTGGGGCAGGGGGGGTTTCCCACTGTTGGGTTTCTCCATCGGTTGGGATGAACTGGGGGGGGTTTGGGGGGTGGTTTAGGGGGCGGCTCCGAGGTCTCGGTTTCCATCCAGGCGGAATTAGGAACTGAGATCGCGGCGGTTAAGGCAAAAAAAAACCCAAAAACCATAAAAAAACTGCATTTGAAGGCGGCACACACACAAAATGGCTGGCTCCCAAGACGAGCATTTCCATACAATACTCTAAAAAGGATAATAACCTAAAAAAAAGGTAATTATACGACTTAACGGCTCGGCGGCCTGAAGGAGAGAGAGCTGTAAGAAGAGGGAGGGAAAATGGGGGTGTAGGGGAAGGAGGGGGGGGGAAATATCAATTATGGGATAAAATCGTGGGGTTTTTTTTGGATTTTCCAACACTCCCCACTTGGGAGTTGTCAGAAGAAATAGTCTGGTGGGGTTGGGATTATGGGGTGAAGAGGAAAACGCTCCGCTCCGGCCCCGTGGAGGGATTTTTTTTGGAGGCAGGTAAAGCAGCAAGAACCCGCGGAGATTTTTAGGGGGAGGATTAAAAAAAAAAATAAAATGAAAAAAAAACTATTCCTCCCACGGCCCTAAAGGAAGAGGCAGCCCTAAAAACCCAGCTTTTAACAAAGAGAGTCTCGGAAAAAGAAGAATTCAAGGAGTAAAAGGAGAGTCATT